CATTATTTATAATTTACTTAACACTGGTCTGGACAGTGGGCATAGCCCGTACTAGCGAATACTATACAAAAAATGTTAAAGGGAGTGTCAACGTATTTTCAAGCGTCCCTCAGTTTCAAGCATTAAAAATACTTGATTTACAATGATAACTTTCAACCCTTTGTCGCATAAACATATCTTTTACAGAGTTACCCACAAAGAATGATACTGCAGAGACGATTGTACGGAATTTATATTTTCTGTCTCCTTTTTATTCATGATTTCATCCTTTGTGAACAACCCTGTAATAATCTTCTAAATTTAACCTTTTCTGTCTCATAGTCATAGTCATGATAAATATGTTATGTAATGAGTAATGATCAATGTCGCCTATTTGTGCATAATTTTGCATATTTTTCTTTTTTCTTTTGTAAAGCTATATATTCAAAAATTTATTTAAACAAATTTAAACTACACCATTTATTTATGTATTTATATCTTCGTGTGTGAATAAATTTTTATAATATAATATAATTTAACAAATATTAAATTTAATAGTGAAGTTAGATAGCTTAAAATTGTATTGTATGCAAATAATTTTGTTCCTATTAAAACCATGGAATAAAAAAATGTTATTTTAGCAATCTTTTGTGAATTTGATGTTATATAAAGTATACTTTAGATAGTTTTCTTATTTTAGTTTACACCATATAGAGATAAATATAAATAAAATAGTGTAATGTGAAGATAAACCCCTGTAATGTTCCCCTAGTGAGTTTATCTTATATAACACAGAGATGATTTTTATAAGGCAATTTAATATGTTTAATGGACCAACACCAACTGGACAGGGTGTTCCAATAAACATGGGGATTGAGATACGACTTGAAAGTCGTCTTTAATTTCTGATATTTAATTCATCGCAAAGAAATTTTTTTTAAAAAATGAGCCTCTACGTCTGACGAGCTTTTCATATAGTGGTCTACCTTGCAATTGTAATTTTAAAATTAAAGAGGTGTTAGATATAAGGAAAGTTTTGGTTTAATAAATAAATTTAAATTTGTACTAATTTCGTCTCCGTCCGTCAATTATGAAGGTACAAAAATGGTAAAACACTTTTTGAAGACCTGCAGGTAGGGATGTTAACGTTTTCATTTTTCAGAAAAACGATCGTTTCGTTATGAAAACGACGACGAAAAATCGAAAACGAAACGATCGTTTTTAAAAACGATCGTTTTTTTAAAAAGTTCGTTTTTTAAAAATGTTCGTTTTTAAAACGATCGTTTTTCAAAACGCTAGTTTTTAAAAACGATCGTTTTTCAAAATGATCGTTTTTATAAAATTCGTCGTTTCGTTAACGATCGTTAACGACGACCCTTCGTTAACGATAGTTAACGACAACCCTTCGTTAACGATCGTTAACGACGACCCCTTCGTTAACGATCGTTAACGAAGAGAGGAAACCGACCTGAAGTGCATCTGTACTTATCATTGAGTAGTTTTTAGTAGAAAACATCCCCCACAACTGTTAAACTTCATGTAAGACGACATTCAATAAAGTTTCATGTAATTATTTTCCAAAAACGACCGTTTTAATAAAGTTCGTCGTTTCGTTAACGATCGTTAACGACAACCCTTCGTTAACGATCGTTAACGACGACCTTTCGTTAACGATCGTTATCGACGACCCTTCGTTAACGATCGTTAACGACGACCCTTCGTTAACGATCGTTAACATAATTATCAAAAAAAAAATTTTTTTAAAACGATCGTTTTTTTTAAAAACAATCGTATAAAAAACGATCGCAAATCGTTTTAATAAAAACGATCGTTTACAAAAACGATCGCTATTCGTTTTCTAAAAGTTCAAAACGAGTGGGTCGTTTTTAAAAACGATCGTTTTTTTCCGAAAACGAAACGATCGTTTTTGAAAACGAAACAAAAAACGATCGTTTAACGATCGTTTAACGATCGTTTTCAAAAACGATTAACAACCCTACCTGCAGGCGTCTCCGATATTAGATGTTTATGCGGAAATTTGTTCACGATAAAATGCCGCATGGATAGAAGACACAAAGTCGTCACTGAATTTCCATGTTTGTTGGGACACTCTGTACTATACCAGGAGATATATTTACACAGTACACAGTACAGTAATTTCTCTTAGCTGTTTATCTTACAGAAATATTACAGACACATACCAAACAACGTTTTGTTGAATAACAAAACTGCCTTAAATCGTTTACATGAATTTTATTTTTGATATTAAACATTTCTACAATCCAAAAGTCAAATGATGAAAACTCAGGAAAACCTTAAAAATGTGTACAGCAAGGGACTCAAGCTATTTCAAACAAATTAAAGCATTTTATTATGGCTTTACAATAAATATTGTTCTAAATATAAGTAGCTATTTAAAAAGAATTGAATTCCATTTTTTATTTAAAACTGTAAATATTATCAGTAACATCCATCAAATACCATATTTCTCTCCAAATTTTCTTTCTTTCAATCCACCCTACAATACAATGCTAATTCTGAACAAAGACAATTCTTCTCTTAATTCCCATATTTATTGGGACACCCCGTACGACACATTAGGGTTATACAGTGGTCAACTGCAATGCAACAATGCAACAATGTTTTAATATAACAATAGAAATATTTTGATTTTCTGTTATTTCCTAAATCTATTTTTTTGTAACCAATCTATTTTCCCTGAGAGTATCTACCCGGAATAGGACACATTGCTAATTAGCTATTTTCCATGAGAATATCTACCCCGGAATAGGACACATTGCTAATTAGCTATTTTCCATGAGAGTATCTACCCCTGAATAGGACACATTCCTAGTCAACTATTCTCCATGAGAGTATCTACCCCTGAATAGGACATATTCCTAGTTAACTATTTCCCCTGAGAGTATCTACCCCAGAATAGGACACATTCCTAGTTAACTTATTTCCATGAGAGTATCTACCCCTGAATAGGACACAATCCTAGTGAATGGCTCCTTTCCTTTCATCTATCACTAATTGCTGGATCATTTTTCTCTTTATATATTTTCCAATAAAAACTTCTAAACAAAAATAACAATATTTCTAAGCATATTACATGTTTAAGGAATGTAGGTATAAAGGGGATATATTGAAAATATTAATTTTGTTGTTTATTTTCTTAATTTTAAAAATAAATTAGAAAAACTATTGAAAAATAAATGTATCCCCTCTCAGTGTCCTGAATACAAGTTACATACAACTACATAAACATAAATGTTTAAAGGGACTGTTGTGGTATTATAAGTGATCCTCCATTAAAAAAAAGAGGAGTATGCCTGGTTCACAACAGTAACCTAAAAAATTCAACAAAATACGGCTCGGGTCCAAGCTGTCGTCAGAGTTGGGTCAAAAATTGGGTCTAAAAGTCGGGTTTAAGGAATTACGGTTCGTGTCGAAGATTTTAAATCATGGACTTTATGTAAAAGTTAACGTCGTTTTTTCGCCTGAAAAGTGTTTAGTTCTTATAAATTCACCATTGTTTCTAGATCAAGAAATAATGCAGAGAAATTACAATAAACTGGTTTTAAAACAAAATGATTGATAACTGATTCTGAATTGACCAATTAAATTATATTAATGGGTACCATTGTGAATCCGACAAGCCACTCTTTTTTAAAGAGAGCATCCTTTATAATAACGTTTACAGTCCCTATTATAGATCATTTTTGGCAGTTTCTTATTTGGCATTTTCTTTGTAAATATTAACTCGTATTGATAGTAAATTGATTAATTGCTGTTAATGATATGTTCTTCTGTTGATAATATGGATACTCCTGCAGAATCAATTTTAGCTACGTGTAATTAAAATACATGGTAATAAAAAGTGTATTTTTAATAAAGCACGCGACTTCTGTTTAGAAGTTTAAAACAAAGAAAATTGGGAATGGAAGTAAATCTACAGAACGTTCACCATGATGCCATGCTTTTGTGTACGAGCGTAATGGCATCCCATGACGCATATTCTGTATGTTGATTTGCTATTCAAATCTATGTATTGTATTTTCACTTTAAGGATGTGTAAAAGCAAAACAATGCTTGCCTGACAACCATTAATGTACGCTTGCGTTCTGCCATAAACAATAATGGATAAATATTAAGATAAATATGTTTTGTACAGATTAAGTTAAAACTACAATTACTATCACATTGTAGCGTGTACAATAGTTGAGATTAAATGAGATTTATATAAAGAATCAGACTTTAAGGTTTAAGTTTTAAAAATGTAGTTTAGTCTTTTAGGTTTCATTCATTATTGTTGACTTCAGAAATGTTTGCATTGAACAAAGTTTAAAAATTTTCAAAAAATCATCGGAGTCCAAATTTAATGAATTTGATCTGCGTCTCAAATTAAAGCCGCGGCTCAAATTCTCAAAAGCAAAGAAATAAAGATCAGAATATTAAGGTTTGGAGATAGTGGTAATTTTTTTGAGTTAATTTTTTTGGTTTCTTCTTTTTTTATTTGATGGCTTAAAAACTGAGTAAAAATCGAAACAAAACAAAGGACTATCCTGAGGCCGAATTTAAAGAATTTGAGCCGCGGCTTAAATTTAAGTCGCTGCTCAAATATGGTTGGTTCCACTTAAAATCGTATTCAATGTTTCAAGATCTAAGCCGGCGCTCAATTGAAACAGGTTTTTAGGGGATTTAAGACGCGGCTCAAATTCATTAAATTCGGACTCTGCACAATTTGTTACTTATTTGAAATTAAACATGTTGATTAGCTTTAATTAGAAATTTATGCTTTTTCCAAGAAATCCATTTAAAATCAGGCAGTAAACTTTTAACATATAAGCTGCATGTTTTTGGATATGTGTATTATATCATATGCAAGGAATTAAGTCTTTGTTGCAAACTCTGATTCCTATATCTTTGCAACCCAATGTCGTAGACCTTTAACATTTCAAACTATCACTTCTAATAGATTAAATAATATAATTTTGAAATATCAAAGGTTTACGACATTGGGTTCCAAAGATAGAGGGATTAGAAAATCAGAGTGTGTGGCAAAGACTCAATTCCTTTAAAGTCAAGCTGCTTGCAAAACAACTTAATAGATTTAACGGCCATGGATTAACATTTTACTGAACATAGAAGTTTGCCATTATTAGATAGGAACCATTACTGATAATTATTTAGTAAGTGAGATGGGTCTACCAGCTAGCTCGGAGATATCATTCTGTATGGACTGCATCAAACATTTAAACTTAGACCAAAGCATTGGGAACAAAAAAAAACAAAAAAAAGTTAAAAAGTTTTTATTGTAATTTTATTGTTAGTAGTTTAAATTTCCTGAATTTGTTCTACCATCTCATTTATATCCTCACTTACTCTGAACAAAAATCAAAATTTAAATGTATTGATCAACAATAAACCAGTGAACCTATGCCATTCAGCCATAACCCATTGAACCATGCAATTCAGCCATAAACCATTGAACCATGCAATTCAGCCAAAAACCATTTAACCATGCAATTCAGCGATAAGCTAATGAACCATGAACCCATGCAATGCAGCAATTCAGCATTATACCATTGAACCATGCAATTCAGCGATGAACCAATGAACTATTGAACCCTAGCAATTCAGCAATATACCATTGAACCATGCAAATCAGCGATGAACCAATTAATAATTGAACCCATGCATTTCAGCAATTCAGCAATATACCATTGAACCATGCAATTCAGCGATGAACCAATGAACTTTTGAACCCTAGCAATTCAGCAATTCAGCAATGAACCATTAAACCATGCAATTCAGCAATGAACCAATGAACCATTGAACTAATGAATTAATAAATCTATGAACATATGTGCCAAACAGTGAACCAATGAATCAATGAAGCAATTCACGAATGAATCAATGAACCAACGGAATAATGAACAAAGAAAAACAAGAAATCAATAAGTCGATGAATCAACGAATAAATGAATCTATATATCAATAAACTAATAAACAAATTAACAAAAAGAACCAATGAATCAATGAATAAATTACCCAATAAATCTATGAAACAATTAATCAATCATAAAGTAAACGAATGAACAATTAAACAAACCTATTTAGAATTATACCATTGATCCCTATAAAACAATGACTTAAATTACCAATGAATTAATAAACGATATGCACACAAATATCTATCAATCTAAGTAAAAATGAATCAATGGACCAAAGGATCATTGAATCAATGAATCAATAAATCAATGAATCAATGAATCAATAAATCAATAAATCAATAAATCAATGAATCAATGAATCAATGAATCAATGAATCAATGAATCAATGAAACAATGAATCAATGAATCAATGAATCAATGAATCAATAAATCAATGAATCAATGAATCAATGAAACAATGAATCAATGAATCAATGAATCAATGAATCAATAAATCAATGAATCAATGAATCAATAAATCAATGAGTCAATGAATCAATAAATCAATGAATCAATAAATCGATGAATCAATGAATCAATGAATCAATAAATCAATGANTTGCGAAGCAACATTTTTAAAAAGAGAAGAATAATTCAATGAGTGAATCAATAAATCAATAAATCAATGAATCAATGAATCAATGAATCAATGAATCAATAAATCAATGAGTCAATGAATCAATAAATCAATAAATCAATGAATCAATGAATCAATAAATCAATGAATCAATGAATCAATGAATCAATGAATCAATGAATCAATGAATCAATAAATCAATGAATCAATAAATCAATGAATCAATGAATCAATGAAACAATGAATCAATGAATCAATGAATCAATGAATTAATGAATCAATAAATCAGTGAATTTTACTAATTTTCCAAGTTTATACAGCAATAGAAGTTTACCTTGTGCTAAGATGGACTATACCCTCCTCCCTACACCTTCTGTTTGGTGCTGGACTACAGTTCGCAGATACAGACCCTCGCTCCTGGAGATTTAGATATTTATTTCGTTTTATATTGATTTCATACATTTACATATTAAAGTGGGTCACATAAAACTAAAGACTTGCTATATTGCTTGTACCGGTTTGGAATTTACCTGAAGGGATATGATTGATCTTTTGAGTTTTCTAGACTGGGAATCTGATAACCGCCTCTCCATTCGAAGCCGCCTCTTGGGCACTATGCAAAAAGAAACTTATAGGTAATTTTATTTGAGATTTGACCTGCAGTCATTAATTTTATTTGAGATTTGAACTGCAATAGTTCATTTTATTTGAGATTTTAAAAGCAGTCTTTCATTTATTTGAGATTTGAACTGCAGTCATTCATTTTATATGAGATTTAAAGTGCAGTCATTCATTTTATTTGAGATTTGAACTGCAATAATTCATTTTATTTGAGATTAAATTAAAGCCATCAACATGTCGAATTGAACTTTTTTTGAAAATCCCTCAATAGTAAGAGAAAAATCCGTGAAAGTTTTTGTTATTTTGGATTACAACTTAAAGGAATTACGACTTGAAAAGCTACAGTTCAATATTAAAGTTGTTACTAAAAACCTATGTCAATTTTCAAGGTGAGAAAAATTCATCTCGATTTCAAATTCAATTTTTAATAATATCATTTTCTATTTGGGTGATCAGAATTTGAATTCTTTAAAATAATAAAAATGAAAGAGCAAACTTTACAAAAAAATTCTTTATCATAAATTGATGATAAAGTTTTAAATACTCGAGTTTTCTCTTGAAATTTTCAACTTTCAAGTGTGTACACTTCAGCAGTTAGATTTAAATTCTTTCCTTCTTTTCAACGCAAATAGTATGAAAAGAAAATTTAAATATAGTGTCAGCAAGTCTTCAGGTCTGCAAATCTATTTAAAATATTCTTGAAGTACGGGCAGTTTATTTAAAGGGATTGTTTAAGGTATTTGATGAATCAAATAACAAAAAAAAATATTTTTTAAAATCTGCACTTAGCCCTATTCCTGCTAGGGGGGGGGTCAATTTGACCCCCCCCCTTTATTTTTTATTACGCAACTCAAATAATATTGGTCTGAGGCTGTAGAAATTTCTGACTTTTCCTAAACATCAATAGTCCTCCCCTTTAGGTATAAAACATTGCTTTTAGCTTTTTGGAAAACCCATAACATAAGGAAACGGATTGCACAGAAATAGCATTTTTTTGCAGATTCTAAAAGTAGATCATAAGAGCTTTCCAATGATGTAAAATTTGTCCTATTTGAACATTAAACATGGGATTTAGAGGGGGGGGGGGGTTCAAATTGAATACACCCACCCCCACAGCGTATCCAGGGTTTTAAGTAACCAAGCAGGGATAGGGTTAAAAAGATTCCTAACGTTATATTCTTAATTTCGATCAATCGAAAGTATTTCGAAAGGTATTGAATCTTTCCCACAAATTCAAATTTTCTAATCCCTATATCTTTCCAACCTCGTGGTGTAAACCTTTTATAATTCAATCTTAGATTTGATGTAAAATAATTCATTGTTAAAATATTAAAGGTCTGCGATATTTGGTTGCTAAGATATAGGGGTTAGATAATCACAATGGTTGTTTTGAATTATGAATAAAATGTTAGGGATATTTCAGACCTTTTTGATTTCTTATATTTTGCTCCGAATTTCAAAAAAAACATGTTTGCTGTTTAATTAGCGAAATTAATCTTCACCTCCAAAAGATCACTTTGCATAAATCAAAGTCATTTCCCGTTTTTTTCTTATTGAATGTTTATCCCTTCTTGCCTTTTCTCCTTGTCATTTTCCCCTGCCCGCTCTGTCAAATAGAACCCCTGCTGACACCTTGACAACTTGTCAAGTTCAAATTTTTGCAAAAAGATAATTTTCATAGATTAATAATAATACAGATAAAACACTAGATGTCGGCTTTTCAAGATTTAATTGGATTTTATTTAACAATAACCCATAGGCAGAAGGGAATCCGCGCACAGAGCGTTAAATTAAAAGAAAAAGAGAGAGCATGCGCATAACTTCTTTGTGCCTCTGCCTCAGGGTTATTGTGAACGAAAAACCCCTGAGCTAGTGTTATATCTGTATTGTTATTAATCTATGATAATCTTTTTCTCACCTCTCTCATTATGAAGGGGTGGAGGCTTGAATGTGGAGTAGATTTGTTCTTCTTGGGCTAGCACTCCTGGTTGGCTTGGGGTAAGGACTCCATTAGAAACAGGATGATGAGTCTAAAATTTGAGAAGATAATTAAATTTTGCTACTTTTGATAATACTTTTATTTCATTGAGAACCAAGATGTGCACGTTCTCGTGCAAAAATCAGGCAGTACCTTGCCAATTACTCTATTCTAACTTGAGATAGAAACAAGCGTCTGTAATATTAAAATTAATATTTATAAATGGAATCAAAAAGCATAATTGAGTTGGTAAAGTAAAACAAAAGACGAAGACGCTACGACCATTTTAAGTCAATGCTGTCGACTTCAAATTTAACTAACTTGCAGATTTGTCAAGATACAATAAAGGACCATTTTAAAGGACCATAATGATTTTAAAGGACCATAATTATTTTTTAAATGGGCCATAATAATAACAAAAAATATTATCACTATTAACTAACAGCTTTCGCAATTGATATGATGTCTGCACTGTGCGTTCTATACAAAGTATTATCATACTGTTAGTATTTTAAGTTTCAGTTTTTTATATAAATTCTTTCCTACCTGTGTGTCTTCAAAGCTTGAATCTGCATAAAATGATTCCATCTCAGAGTGTTCTGATCCACAGCTCATATAATGGTTGTTGCTGTTGGCTGTGCTGGTAGGAATGTTGCAGATGTTGTTGGGATGGTTTATTAGACTGCTCTCTGAAATACAAGAGATAATAGATCCTATGTCCGATTCACAAGAGTACCCTTTAAGCATTTTTCTAAATTGACAATGTGGAAGATATCTACGGTTTTTAGTGTAGAAAATATTTAATTTTCTTTAAATGGAGGATCCCTTTAATTTAGTATATCTAAAGATATAATTCTAAGTGACCCTCCATTAGTTTTATCATGTTAAAAGAAGGCAGAATTCATTTGGCTCTTATGTTCGACCCGATTCATAATAGTAATCTTTTAACCTTTATCTCTAAAGACTGCAACAAGGATAAAGGTATTTAATTTTAGAAGTTGTTGGCAAAAACTCAATTCCTTTGGATATCTTAATCATTCTTGGCAATCTTAAAGGGCATTTCACTTTGTTTTAAAAAGTCAAATGTTAGAAGATAAAAGGATTGTTAACTTAATTCTGTTTAAAGGGACTGTAAATGTAATTTTAATTTTCCCTCCATTGATATATGATGCAATGACACGTCTGATACAAAAAGGTACCCTTCAAAACTTTGCATGATAAAGTATGAACTAGATATATCCTATTTTCTTTATAAAAACTGTTTATTTTCATTATGGTTACTCCGCTAGATAATGCATTTAATAGCTTGAAAAGTGTTTAATTCTGATAATTTCTTCATTGTTTCTGAAGTTTTCAAAAACGAAGAAATGGATATGTAATTCATAATCAAACTGGTCAGATGAAGATTTTAAGTTAAGGGGACTGTTATTAACAAACAATTACGTTTAAAGGAAAAAGGAAATTTCAACCCTTAAATCATAACTTTTTTGTTATCATTGAAGCCTCTGGCCCTGTGATGGTAAGATTGCGAATCAAATATATATGAAAAGGAAATTGAGAGTTGAAAGTATAGTAAACTGTATTTCTATATATATCTATATGTATACAGCCTAAAGCTAGACATATCATTTTATTTAACCTATGTTGAACAAGATTAACCCTATAAAGGCAGGGGGGTCTGAATCTATGTATAGCCGGGGGGGGGGGCGCCAAACGCCCTCCCAGCCTGTTTAGGGTAAAGTTACGACAATTGGGTCTACGTTTTTAAGAGAGCATTTAATATTTCCAATGCAGCGATATTAAATCCTAAAAAAGTGTGTATTTCACTCAAACACGTAATGGGAAAAAATATTTTGATCAGAGGGTGGGGAAGTGATTTTGAAATATTTACATAAATATATATGAGTAACAAATTAAAACATGCATCATTTTACTTTTTAAAAATGATTTTGATTAATAGTTTGCGAAATTATTTTTCAACATTTTTCTCTCAATCAAATAATATAAATGTTGTGTTTGTTTTGTCTGCATTTGAATATCTTAAAACCTTGTGAAGAATGCATCTCTCTGTAGTTTTGCATCAAAAACAAGCAACATTATTGCATGTATTGCATATCAGATATTGGATTTGAGTTTTTTAATACAGTTTTTTTTCGGGTCTTAGAAGATATCATCTTCATTGGAGTACTATCAGTTGCCCGCTGTCAATCGGAGGCCCAGCTTTTCATTGGATGGTTCAATGATAATGATTTACATATAGACGTAAGAAAGAAACAGTAGGTAATCGCAGAGAAAAAAGACTGCAGGTCTTAGGGATACAGTATAGATCCAGACTATAACATGAAATGTTTAAGACTTGTATCAAATTTATAGTGTTGTAACGCCTAGGCCTTTGATTAAACCTCCCTGACTCGATCATAGTTTGTGTACCCCTAGACATGTATATTTTAAACCATACTTTTTTATTATTATTAATTTTGATTAAGAGTTTTCGTCTTTTAGATAAATGTGGATTTCTTACACGACCTTTTCAAATTTGCAAACTGATTCTTTCATTTTATTTGCTAAATTTTATATATTTACCTTCTCTATTTGCTGTGTTTAATGTTGGATGGGTTGCTTGATAAATGGAAGCACTTTCATACTGAGAGTCAAACCCCCTCTCCTCCTGTACCCTGTAAACCCGTCCCAGCATCCCTCCGTACTCCGGGTACCCTGGGACCAGGCCTGGGACGGAGAAGTTGCTTCCATATCTAATTGCACCTGGAGAAGGACCGTTAAAGGAGTTTAAGGACCCAACCCTGACTCCTTGAAAGGAGGAAGGTCCTCGGCTTGGAGGCATCGGAGGAAGGCCTGGGTCACACAGAGGCAATGGACCAGACTCCGCTGTTAGTCCTCTATTATAAACTCTAAAAATATATATTTAAGTTAAACATGCTTTATTTTGACATACGTATTTTTGTTTTATTTGTTATTTGTTCCCAATCCAGGGTTCTGCAGTATTCGTATTTTATTGAGTCCATGAGCTTTGAACTCATAAATAGACAGAATAAATGAGTTTCACTTCTTGTTAAGTTAATCTTCCCCCCCCCCCTCTCTCTTATCGGCCACTAATCTAACAATTAAAAATATTCGTAAAAAACTGAAAATATAACACGGATATGTGAATGTTCTGTTTTAGACGTTCGTTTTCTTTGTTTTCTATTAAATTACAATTGTTGGTATTTTCTATAAATAATACAAAAGGACAAATATCAGGTCAATACGCTTTATGATGTGATTTCTTAATGAAAACAAAAACAAAAAAGAGTGAAATTAGTATTTCACATTCAGAACATGCAAAGCTGTGTGCAGTATATGTACCTTACACTGTAGCATGGTATTACCTGTAGGGACTGTTCCTAACACTGTAGCATGATATTACCAGTAGGGACTGTTCCCAACATAGTAGCATGATATTACCAGTAGGCACTGTTCCAAACACTGTAGCATGGTATTACCAGTAGGGACTGTTCCCAACATAGTAGCATGATATTACCAGCAGGCGTGTTCCAAACAGTGTAGCTTTGTATTACCAGTAGGGACTGCTCCCAACATAGTAGCATGATATTACCAGTAGGCACTGTTCCAAACACTGTAGCTTGGTATTACCTGTAGGGACTGTTCCCAACACTGTAGCAAAGCATTTGTCTCTGTTGGAATGCACTGATTAAACCATCACATTGAACTAAACAAAGATATTTATTTTTTCTAAATCTTTAGCAATTCTCATATTTTGGAGTTCAATTGTTTTAACCAAGAACTGAGTACATAACCTTTGCAAAATCTACAGTTGTCATAACTTATGATGTCTAAACCTATAGATCACACAAACTACACTGATGTCATAACCTAGAGTGTTCTGATATCCTGCAATTATCATTGTTTATAGTAGTGTACAGTCGTCATAACCTAGAGCCATGATCTTCAGCATATTCTACAATTTGCAAACCCCATATAATCCTTAACTTCTAAAAACTTATGTCTGCAGTTATCATAACCAATATCTGTCATAACCTAGAGCTCTTATAACCTACAGTTGTCATTACCAATATCTGTCATAACCTAGAGCTCCTATAACCTACAGTTGTCATAACCTAAAGCTCTTATAACCTACAGTTCTCATCACCAATATCTGTCATAACCTAGAGCTCTTATAACCTACAGTTGGCATAACCAATATCTGTCATAACCTACAGTTGTCATGACCAATATCTGTCATAACCTACAGCTCTTATAACCTACAGTTGTCATAACCAATATCAGTCATAACCTACAGATCTTGTAACCTACAGTTGTCATAACCATATCAGTCATAACCTAAAGCTCTGATAACCTACAGTTGTCATAACCAATATCTGTCATAACCTACAGCTCTTATAACCTACAGTTGTCATAACCAATATCAGTCATAACCTACAGCTCTTATAACCTACAGTTGTCATTACCCATTTTAGTCATAACCTACAGATCTTGTAACCTACAGTTTTCATAACCTGCAGTGTTTATAACCTAAAGTTTCCATAACCTACAATTGTCATAAAACCTACAATTATCACAACCTACAGAATTGGCATAACCTACAGTTGTTATAACCTACAGTTGTCATAACATACAGCTATCATCACTTACAGTTTCCATAGCCCACAATTGTCACAACCTACAGAATTGTCATAACCTACAGTTGCTATAACCTACAGTTGTCATAACCTACAGTTGTCATAACCTACAGTTGTCATAACCTACAGCTATCATAATCTATATAGTGTCCTAACCTAAAGTTCGCCCAGTTGTCGCGGTTTTAATTTTTCATTACCTGACTGTTGGCTGGTTTCATGAGAACTTTTCTTAATTCTTCGAGGTTTCTCTCTTCTTTCTACTGAACAAACAAAAAATGAATATTAATAAAAACTGCGAGACAAAATTCTCCGTTTTCATATTTAATCTTGATATTCTGTTAATTCTAACTTATAATGGAGAGCCATGTCACTCAAGTAACTTAATTTTACTTCTAAATAAGACAAATTTTAATAATGTACATCATTTATATTTCAAAGTTATAACAACTTTGGGTTTCTAAAATTGAAAACTAAATAAGCCATGAACAAATTTTCAATTATTTCTGAATTAAAAAGGTTTGAAAATGATTTCTCTGTTTTTATTTTCTAAAAATCTAGCTCTAATGCTCTTTTATCCATCTTTAACACAATCGTTTATAAAATAAACATTACTTTTAATTTTCCATCTTTAACAGGGAAAGGATACAAGAAAAGTGAAAACCTCCTTTTCCTATTAACCCTATTCAGATTTCCCGATTGGGCTATTTTTGTCTAATTTAGATGAGGCCCCCGCCACCCTGGTAATACCTGATGCTTTACCCCTAGAAGAAAGAGAACCGGAAGTAGTTTCCCCTGTGGATTGACTCTGCTCCTCGCCACTAGATCTCTCCTCACCAGAACCCTTGGTTAGGAATTATCTTTAAAAATGTACAAATATATTTAAAATGTTTTATTTCCACCAAAGATATTAGGATTGGCTAGATCGGCCACAGAACATAATTCATCACAAGAAACCATAATCTGTCAAGAGAACAACTGTTATTGAACTTTTACTGTATTAAAAATTTAATGAATCTATCTATAAATTCATTAAACATTTATTAATTATAATCATATGCTGTCAAATATATTTTTTGCAACAATATAAATATTATCTTTTTTTAGTTAAAGTCATTAAACTCTTATTTTCTTTGCAAGCTTATATAATTGAATGACCTTTGTATTCAAAATTTGATTATGTGACCAACAGAATTCACAGTTTCAGGGAGTGTTCGCTAACAATGAAAGGGGGTATAGGCGTAATGCGATAAAAAAGCGCTTTTGGATAGATGCTACGATATTCGGTATTAGTAGTTTTTAACAATTTTCTCCTTATAGACGCAACAGATAGAAGTAAGATTAGTAGCGATCAAAAGCGCTTATTCTTCATCGTAAGCCTATAACCCCTTTCATTTTTCGCGAACACTCCCTTTAAGATGACAAAAGTCTACAGCATAAAGTTGCAAAAATAAATAGATTAGAAAATTTGATCTTGAGGTTAGAAAACAGTTGATTGACAATTTTGAGTCCTATCAAATTTTTGCATTATTTATCTTTGTCAAAATCGAATTGCTAAATCAAAAATTTGAAGATAAAGTGAAAATGCAAACTTACATTTGTTTTATTGAAGGACTGTTCCATTAGATCTGTAGATGCGTAGCAGGGCCCCTGGGGAAGATAGTTTGAATCCTGGAATGTTTTGTCTGTAGGGCCCTGATTTATTTTCTGGTTGGTTTGCTGCAGCTCAGCATACTCAGGAGGATAGACACTATAGTCAACACCAATATATATTCAATAAAATATACTTTTCAAAAAAGTTAAAATCATTTTATATTTAATTTTATTATCAGTTATTAAAACATGAACAAAAATATTATAAAGGGAAGTAAAAAAAATTTTGTGTTAGACATTTACAATTAAAAAAATAGTTTGAAAAAAATAATTTTATGCTCTAAATATAAATACAAAATGTTATTTTTTTAATTTTTTAATAAAACTTTTCTTATAGTAAAAATATTGCTCTTTGATCGTGTACTTGTACAGTACAAGTTTGATACCAAATAGATTATCAAGTATACAATAGGTGGCAACAGAGAACTGGACCAATACATGACGTCATAAGTGTCAAATATAACAAGGAAAATGAAATTTTCTAACATTAGTGTTTTTAGGATCAAATAACATATTAGTGTAAACATAGAAAATTGCACTTATTTTACTGTAAGATAAGCATTTAGTCTAAAGTTAGTAACTATTATTAATAATTTTGTCTGACACAAAAAACTGAGTTGACACTTGTGACGTAAGAATATATCTGTACTGAAATTGTACAAATTCTACCTGGGCATCTATTGTACTTGACAATCTTTTTGGTACAATGTGCTTATATTGTACTGCACCTATATAGTTGACAATGTATAAATCGTTACAAAAATGTTACTTAAATTTTTATAGAAACGATGACGATTTATCGTACACATTTTAAAATGAAACATTTTTTTTTTTTTGGAGAACGTAAAGTACTTTTTATATCTTTATACCACCAACACTATCTGAGGCCGGATTAATCTCAAGCCCCACTGAACCCCTTGGAGCATATTGAATACTGATTTTATCAATGGTCTCAATCAGTAAATTCAATTTACTCAAACAATTCTTCTAGTTTCTCTCAACCCTGGGACTCTGGGCTAGAGTTTGTAGATCGTTTCTATTCGTTTCTTTATATTTTTAAAGGTTTGAAGTTATAAATCTTTCAAAATTGTTTGACATTAACGTTTGATTTTTTTCATTATTCAAAATTTTGCTCTGACAGATAGTTTGAACGATTTTTCAAATTTATTATTAAAGAACAAGTGGTTTGGCTTCGTTTAGGCTTTTATGTTCTGTCACAATCAATATAATGCACAATTCTATAATAAAAGCAAACTTAACTATAAAATTAAAAATTTTGCCAGACTTTGCGAATTTTATGGAGAATTCTAAAAACCTTAAATGTCTAAAAAAAATGATGAAACGTGATGCCTAACTCGACTCACGGGGTAGGGTTGTGAGAGAGTGCAGAAAGGATATCCTAACTTTTGAAAATCATTTCCAAGTTTACATTTTTTAAACTCCTCACTAACATTTGTTTACTCTATAGTTGGGCCATTTATTTTATTACATTTTTAGATGAATTTGATTAATGCATTTCTGAAAAATTCCAATAAAAAGTCTATAAAAAGGTAAAATCGATTAAAAGGCATTAATAGTTACCCATTCCATAAAAAGTCTTTTGAAATGTCTTATCATTAAAACGCCATGAATATAAAATGTCCTGTAGTACAGAATAATGAATGTCCTGTTTATTACATGTCATAACTTTGAAATGTCTTATGTATGAAATTACCTAATTGTTATAACTAATAAATGTCTTTTATATAATATGTCCTTTTTTAAAATTTTCTATTTATAAAATGTCCCATTTATTAAATTTTATATAAAATAAAGGCTGGACCCTGAATGTTAAATATATTAAATATTAAAATTAATATATTAAAATTAATAAAAATAAAATTTCCAATGCATAAAATATCCTTTGCAAAAAAATGTCTTGTTAATAAACTTATAGGATATGTAAAATGCTTTAAATGGCATACCTTTGAAATGCCTTAAGTAGGGAGAATGAAATGTTCAATGTACGAAATGAAATAATGTCTATGAAATGTTTTATTTATATGTGCATTGAATGTTATTTTTCTAAACGTCCTATATTTGTACTCTCTTTAACATTCACCCTCCACAAATTATAATTCGTTGACCTTTAATATTTTAAACTATGAAATATGCTAGATCGAAAAGTTTAAGGTTTAATTATCAAAGGTTTTCACCATCAGGTTTAAAAGATATAAAGTTTAGAATATTTAAGTCTGTGGCGAGTAATCATTTTTTCATTTCTCAAGATTGGTTTCCTGTTGATATAAAGATGTGTTGGTTTCTCGTGATATGATCCATACATGGAGAGTCCAGTAGCCTAAACAAATCATTTTTTAATTCACGGAGTAGATACAAATGGAATTCACGGAGTAGATACAAATGGAATTCACGGAGTAGATACATATGGAATTCACGAAGTAGATACAAATGGAATTCACGGAGTAGATATATATGGAATTCACGGAGTAGATACAAATAAAGTAGGATTCAGTCTAGTCTACAATTGCGCCATCTTATATTCCTGCACATATCTATATAATAAAACAAGACATATATATATGTTGTCTATAGCCGGCCAAACAGTTGGACCTATTGGGTTGAACATTTTTGTGGACACTCATGGGTGGCCAGTGATTGTTATAGGCTAAAAAAATTAGATTTTTTTGTTTCAAAATATTTTTTTTTCTAAATATGTTCAGCTAGTATAATTCTATTCCAGCAAAATGTATTCCGACTCTTCTGCTAGTGAAATATTGGAATAAGGATTAAAGATAAAGTTTGAATCTAAAACTATAAACTAAACTTTAATCTGCGCAAAAAAGACATTTTCTTACGAAGGAAACGCTTTAGCAAAAACCAGATTTTTGGGCAAACTTTTCCTTTAAGTGGTCTCAAAAGTTAATAAAATTGATAGAAAGTGTTCTGTCATTGAATCATTGCTGGAGATTATGCGTATTGTCTGCAGATTCTATACAAGTTATATCAGTTATTTAGTTTATATTAAAAGAAAACGGAAGAACAGTTTAATAAAAGCAGTAACGAAAAATTATTTTAGAATTACAGATCCGTGTAATTCTGAAAGAAGAATAAAAATTAGCTATGGAAGGAATTTTATATCTGTAATACAATTGTAATATTTTAATCTCTGCTACAAAATAACTTGTATAGTTGAAAAAATGTTGAAAAAAATGCCCAAAAAAAAGGCAAAAAAAAATTTGCTTGTTTAAAACAAATATCAATATAATTTTTCAAGGGATTTTCAAAAATATAGTTTTAGATCTGTAGTCATTGAAAAATTTTGGACTATTTTAAATTTTTACACAGACCGGACATTTTACAGCCCTGTACCCTACCTTATGCATAAAAAAATTTACAAAAAATCCTTGAAATTTCAAGTTATTAAAAGTCAAAAAGTTTCACGCTGATAGTGTCAAAAATAATAGTGCTAGGGCAAAAAAAAACTAGAGGAAGGCCTGTTTAGGGATAATCAATTGGAATTTAGTAATTCGAAGTCGAATTAAATAAAATTCTTTTCCGTCTTTACATTTTGAAAGAATTTGTCTCAAAAGATTTCGCTGTGAATAATTGATATTAACATTCGAGGGTACACTAGCCTCACAAGAAGGAGATGATTCATTTGGTGTACCGTGTTCCGTTATTGGCAGTTGTACAATTGCCCAGCCTTCTTAAAGTCAGTAGAGTACTTCAATTGTGCCAGAGTTTACCAAGATTTAATAAAGGTTTACCGTTAACCGCTTTCTGAACCAAAAGTTTTGACCTTTGCTAAACACAATTTGTTTTTTTCCTACCTTAGGATTTATCCAAAGTGTATCAGATTCCATGCAGGTTAAACTATTGTTATCAGTTTTAGACTCTCCAACTATAAAAAGAATCATTATAAAATCTACATAATTTTAGGCTGTTTAAAATCTTTTATAATTGTATTTTTGCAAAGAAACTAGTAATGTGTATACAAATATAAATTCTAAATGTCAAACTAAAGATAAAAACATTTACATTAAAGAATATTCGGAGGCAAAAATGTCCACAGTTTGATTATTTTAGAATTAATTCAATAATTAAATCATTAGGTCCTGGCTCGCTGATTATATTTATAATATAATAGTAATTTCATTTTCTCTTTTTAAAATTGTGTGATATAGTTTTGATCTATCAGAGTTTTAGTTTTTACTAGGTCTGCGGCATCAGGTTTCATAGATAATTTTATTTTGACACAGTAATCAGTTCCTTTTTACAGTGTACGCAGAGCAGTGCACGCTGAACAATGTACACAAAATAGTCTGCACCAAACAGTTGCACGTTGAACAGTGTATGCTGAACAGTGTTCGCTCTGAACAGTACGCAAGTTGAACAGTGTATGCTGAACAGTGTTCGCTCTGAACAGTGTGCACTTTGAACAGTGTGAGCTCTGAACAGTGTGCGCTCTGAAAAGTGTGGGCTCTGAACAGTGTACGCTCTGAACAGTGTGCGATCTGAACAGTGTGCACTCTGAAAAGTGTGTGCTCTGAATAGTGTGCGCTTTGAACAATGTGCGCTCTGAACAGTCTGCGCTATAAACAGTGGTCTCTCTGAGCAGTGTGCGCTGAACAGTGTACGTCGAACAGTGAACGAGCTGAACAGTGAATATTGAACAACATACCCTGAACATGAATGCAGTGTAAATATATACCTGAATATTGTGCATAATGTTTCCTAGCAGCACTTCTTCGCCTGATGTAAACAAGGAACCCTGCTGCCAGTACACTTAGTATGGAAAATGTCCCAATGAAGGAGACGAACCAGGTTTCATGGATGCTGCGGCTAAAACAAATTAATATTAAATCTAAAAAAAACAAAAGTTTTTAAAATTCAAAATTCAAAGTTTTGTTTCTTTCACCAGAGGCTTAGCTGTTCAAAAGCAAAAGAGATATTCTTTATTTTAAATCTGCGAAGGGAACAATTGTAGAAGAGCTAAAAATGCATTTCTATGGATGGGTGTAAACTATCACTTTGGTATCTAAATACAACGCAGCTACAAAAATAAATGGTTGAACTTTAGTAACATAAATCCACCGCTAGAAGTATGAGTGAATGAGAATTGTATTTACCTAATTCCACCGGTAGGGAACCAGAAAGTTCTAAATATAGTTACCTTAATCCACCGCTAGGGAACCAAAAAGTTCTAAATGTAGTTACCTAAATCCACCGCTAGGGGCGAGCGCAGGAGAGAAGAGAAGAGAGGGTTCCACTTTCAGTGTTACTTCATCACTGTAAGGTCCAACTCCAGCACTGAAGAAAAACTTTGTTTTTGCAGATGATTTCAATTTCAATTTTATATAGTTCACAATCAATCACAACAAGTTTTTTAGATTTGAGTGATAGTTTTATTTGAAAAATTCTGCACAGCAAAAAGAAGAAAACAATGTAAGGGCTTCACTTTAAAATTCTAAAATTTCTATCATTGATCTGGCCCATTTTTTTTTATTTGTTGATTTTTTTCTAAAACAACATGCAAGTTCACATTTGGAATTTCACATTGTTATGTTTTTCTCGCATTCTTATTATATCTAAACAATGACAAGATAAACTTATTAAAACCCTTTCTAAACAATGACAAGAGACAAGGTACGGTTTTCTAATTTTTCTTAAAAGTGTGTTTTGCCAATATTCATTTTGAAAAATTCCTTATTGTAAAGGTTACATAAAAAGTTTTTTTTTTATTTTCGTTCAATTCTTTGTTTATTCGAGTATCTTTCTTTGTATTGTTTATTTTATAAATTTATTGTAGGAAAAAAGTTTTTTTTTATATAAATTATTTTTTTTGCTTATATCTGTAATATTATAGGACAAACTCCTGATGATGCCAAAGTTTTTGGCGAAATATATTGAGAAGAAAATGGTATAATTCTAGTGCTAGAGAGGGTTGGGATTTGTTTAAAAACGATCTAAATAAACTTAGTAAAACACTTTTTATAACCCGCCTCCTCCAAACAATTACTTGAATTCTTGCTTGAATAATATTGTTCCTCAGTCAAATATTTCTAATTTATAATTTCAATTTACTCAAAATGAAATACTTTCTACTCCAGTGGAGAGATGTGAATTTCACTACAACAAAATTTAATACAAAATTAATTTGTTAAGATTGAAAATAACTATTCTTGAAAAGCATTTTATATTTTGAGATTCTGAATGAAATCAAATAACCTTTCTTCTTAAACCTTGATATATATTTTAGAAATTAACTTAAAGGGACTGGAGTCTGAATTTCAAGAGACTCTTCATTTAGAAAGTGGTGGATTCAAAACGGTGCCCTTTAAACCTCCACCTGAACAAAACTAAGGAAAATGTATGATTTTTTGCTGGAAAAAATATTAAGTTGCCTAATTTTATTTATTTATTTATTTGGTGTAAATTCGCAAATTATTTTTGTTTTTCATACGAAGTTTTTTTTAGGATTCATTTAGGACACCATGTATAATTACTTAATTTGAGCGCAAAGTCGACGTTCAAGGTGGGTACGGTTTTTTAGAATCTTTTTTTTTACTTTTAAATAACGATGACAAAAAATATAGTAAAAATACTAAAGTAAACCAATTAGATGTTTAGAAACATACTTCTAAAAAGATATTTGTCAATAAATCAATGTTAGAATCAGTTATTTCATTTTCATCATTATATTAAATTTCTTATTCTTTACAAATGTGTTCGCAGATTTCTAGAAATCTATAAAAATCCAGAAAATCTGCAACCAATCTTTGTGAATAATGAGAGATTATCGAAACTAATACTTGAATGAGACTACTAATTTTCGCTAATTTTTTAATTAATATTGTTAATTTTTATTTTCTCAGCCTGTTCCTAAACTACTAATTAGTTCACTTTAAAATTTTGTTTACATTTTCTGTCGTCGTTATTTAATGATTTGAAAACCCCACCCAAATTCATGGTTTTGAACGTCGACTTTGCGCTCAAACTCAGTCAATATACCTCGTAGAAAATGAATCATAAAAGAATTGTCCACAATACTGCATATACAGTTCAGCCAACATACCTTGCCGGTCACTCCCTTTATGGTTACCGTTAATCGGACACACCACTCTATATTATGGAAGTTAAATTGAAAATACTGCAATAGTCCCTTTAACCCTACCTTATGTATAGATATGTTATAGATATAAAGTTGAAATACATGTGCAAAGCCAAATTTTTCAAAGATAGGTCACAAAAACTTTGACAGCTAACTTTAATAGTTTAGGTATTGGCCAATTGGTGCGATTTAAAAAAAATGACTAACAACAAAATATGAAACCCTTGATAAGTTAACATTTTCTAAGATTATTTTTGATTGTTTTACTATTTATAAATTTCTTTTTAGATTTTATCATTAATTAAAAAAACTATTTTTATTTCCAATTAGTTCTGTATTCTTATTTTTTCAATTAAATTAGTTTAAGGAATACAAAAACAATAGATTTTAGTCAAAAAAGAATAGTAATCACGAAGACAGCTTTTTCAAGAAAAATTTGAAACCTATGCAGTGAGAATCAGAAAAAAATGTGGAAAGAAAGACGACCTACCCGTTGAAAGCTGCTATCCGAAGTGTATATGTGTATCCTGAGGATAGATTGTTGAGCATAAGACTTGTCGATCCTGGATCCAAGGTTAGGTTTCCAACCTGCGATCCATTTGTCAGAATCTCAACCTTGGGTTAATAAAATCATTATCTGGATGTTTTTTTCCCCCATTATACTCTGGACTTGGGAAGACGACTTTTTGTCTCAAATTAAGACTTTAAATAGTTAACAGACACAGAAATTTTTGAGTGTAAAGAGGCCAATTTCACTTAATAAGTGACTTAATTTTTTTTGGCTGAGTGTTTTCAAAGTGTTTTTAAAATTCTTCGGGCAACGCCGGGCACTTCAGCTAGTTTTTACACATGGTAGTTGTTACTTATATTTGTACATTAGATGATTTACAGACCTTATATCCAATAAGTTTTCCCCCGATAGATTCTTCTGCTGGTGGTTTCCAACTAGCTACTGCTGAACTGGACTCCACAAGCTTTAATTCTAGTCTTGACGGTGGTAGGACAGGAACTAAACACTAATAGTTTTAACTTGATGAAATGGACTCCGTTACTAAAAATTAAAAGGACTCTATGTAGCAAATGACCTACTCCATAACAGTTTCCCAAACGCCCATCTATCCAGGTAAAACTCAGATTTTCTTGACTTTCAATGTCAACACAAGGATACAATTCCGTGAACTATCAACGGCACTACCACTGAGCGGGATCTTCAACTTGTATGTTTCAACAAGGGCCAGTTATGAATCTCAACAGGGACACAAGCTCTTAATCGATCAATTTCTCAACTAGGTCATGAACCACCTACAATCCCGTAAACTATGAACGCCCGATTTACGACAGTACAATTAAAAGCTTTGTCTAATCAAGGATGAATTAGATATGCACATTTAAATATTTTTTTTCTCTGCAAGAATGAAGTGCGCATTTCTCACTTAAATAAAACCATGGAGAAATTCACGGAAATAAAAACTTATCGAGTCGGAAAAACAACATGTTCTTCCTTATTTTTAATCACATTAAGGTTTCAAGGGTACCGTTGTAAATCGGGCATTGCTATCTTTGCATGTGGACCTGTGAGGTTAATTGAAATTACTCCTACAGTATTACCTTTAGGAAAAAATTTTACTTAAGCTATTGGGTTTATTAGGTAATCAGTTTAATGATTTTAAGAAAAAATTCAACAATCAAAAGTTACAACATTGGAGACAGAATTTAAAGAATTTTAGCAGTGGCTTAAATTTAAGCGTGCCTCAAATATAGTTGGTTGCACTTAAAATTGTATTCAATGTTTCAAGATTTAAGCCGGTGCTTAACTGCAACCGGTTTTTGGCGGATTTAAGACACGGCTCAAATTAATTATATTCGGACACCGTTCAAATTCAATGCAAATAAAAGACCATAATAAAAGTGTTCAAAAACTGGGACCTCTTACTTTGAAGAATTTATTAAAAAATCCTAAGCCTAAAATCAAAAATTAATTAAATTAATACCCCTGATCTAAATCCAATACTGTAAATCTGAAATCTGTAATTAAGCTTTATCATCATGAACTTAGAGGGGAAACTTTTGCATGGACGGTACTAGCTAATCCACCACTTGGAGGTTAAATTTTTCTTTATTTTAAAACGTATCTTCAAAGTTCTAGGAATTCACCAATGAGAGATGGATTATGGAACAACCATCAATCAGAGGTCTGATTTTGCGATTAGAAAAAGCTTTTATAAAAGATATGTCCAATCTTTGTAGCTTATATTTTATCATAAGTAAAAGTTCCAAGCTCAGTATGCATTTCATGATTAAATTTTTCTGCATAATCATCCAAAAACAAATTCACACCATTAACATAAAAGCCCTATTTTTTTCTCATTATTTTATAGTAGACTATCTTGGGACCCAGCCTTGCCAAGAAACTAAGCTAAGTCAAGGTATTCCTGAGTTATAATCGAACATACAAGCAAACAGAGATTACTTTTTTACATGTAAATTGATAGATTCAGCCTCAGGACGAAACTTTCAATTCCAAATTTTATAGCTAACCTGTTTCTTTAGTGGTGAATGAGATAATTACTGAAGGTCTGCCAAAAGCTGTTTTAGCAAAGGGAAGTATGAATGCTTGATATCTGGTGTACGGAGACAGATTTTTCATAGTGTAGGATGTAGTTCCTCCTGTTAGGAAATACTTGAAAACTTGATTAAAATTAATAAACATTAGTCTTGTATAAAAATCATGGTTTATCTAGCCGTTTACCTGCGCTTGGTCATAAATTATAATTTTAGTTATTTTTCCTTAAAAAAGTCACTCAACATGGAATCTTTAAACCAAGCTAAAAAGCTTTCCCGTTGGCCTCCCAAGTTCCCCAATCAAAATTTGAGACAAATAGGTCATGGGGTTCCGACATCAAAACAAACAAATAAACAGATTACTACTAAAATTTCTAAATTTTTCTCCTGCTTAAAGAGTTTAAATTTGAAATTGTAAAATTAAACCAAAAAAATAGCATATCATTTTTAACATCGAAAGAACTAAATATTTTCAGTATTTAGAAAATAGAAGTGCTTTGAATTTTCAACTGACAAGACTGTCGTTCAAATTTCAATTAATCCTCCATTAAAAGAGGGAAATGCTATATTAAAACCCTCTAAACATTTGTCTTCTCAAAAATGTAACATATGTATTGTTGTTTTTTTAACTTGAAAATGATTCAATTATCACATTTCGTCTATTGTTTTGGTGGCAAGAAATCTGCTAGACATTAATCTAAATAATAAAACAAGAAATTCGTATATTTATATATATGTGTGTCTATAGCCGCCCAAACGAATGGACTAATTGGGCTGAAATTTTGTGTGGACACTTGTGGGTGGCCGGGGGTTTTATAGGCTAAAATTTTATTTTTAAATATTTTTTTTTCTAATATTTTTCTTTCAAAATTGTATTTTCAAATTTTTTTCAGGCCCTTCAACTAGTAATAAATAAAGCACAAATAGAAGAAAAAAATTCAAAGAGAGATTATACTCATTTCTAACCAGACAAAGCTTTTAATATAATGGTTATAATTTGGAGTTGCCCTTTCTTTAATTCAATGGTTTCTGGAAATGACTTCCCTATAAATGATAAGGATGTCTCGTAGAAAGAATATATTAAAGGGACTGTAACCGTAATTTTAACAATGCAGGTGACAATGCAGGATGCAAAATAATACACTAAAAAGTTTTAAAATTGATACATAATTCATAGTTGATACCATTGTGAATCGGGCATTTCCATCTTTTGAGGCTCGCTTGAATTGTGCTGACAGTCTCTTTAGATAAAAAAAAATATCTGAAGTTTTCAAGAATATTCCTCCAGAAAGTGTAATTATCTCTTTGTTTTCAGTCTGCCCTCCAGCAATATTTTCATCACTTTCTTTATCATCCTTCACCTAGAGATGGACCTCATTTTTGATTTATAAAAGCATTTAATGTGAAGGATGGTGTTGTTTGGAAAAATTTGCAAACAATGAAAAAACAAGGAGTTCAGTTAGAGAAATAAATACAAACAAAAACAAAAGAAATTGATTGATTTAAAATTGCTAAAAATCGTTCACATTTATTTATCATAGTTTAACCATAAAAAATAATTTGTTCTAGAAGGATTTGTAAAAAAACGAAGGTGGCAATCTCTACCTTCAATCCTTTCTCTTCCTCCTCCACCCCTTCAACCCTCCAAACATATAGATGATATCCTTCAATAATCTTCCTGTTTTGCACAACCTAAATATTTATTGTGTTTGGCAAAAATAGATTAAGATTAGTTTTTAATGAAACTTTCTATTTTTAGAATGTGACGTATGTTACAAAAGTAATGAGAATAAATAAAGGTTACGAGTAATTTAACCAGAAGGCAAAACTTGTTTATTGTAATTAACATGGTCATCATCTTAATCTAATTCCTCTTCAATATCCCATGGGGTCATTCCTACAGGGAAAATTTAAACTGAAGTATTAAGTTTTAAAGTGCTCACATTAGATGTTGAAATCAAGCGTTTAAAATTTGCAATGTTTAGAGCTCTCAGAAACTCTATGATTACAACAATGTTCATGGTTCTGAAATAAACAAGTCTACCAAAACAAAAAAGTAAATGTGAGTTAGTCAGGGAAAGTCAAAGACCATGGGTAAAGACACATTATACTAGAGACTAGAAAATTTAAGCAACTTTTCATAACTTTGTTTTTATTATCTTTTAATAACAAATCTGAGAAGTTTTACAAATCTCAAAATTGTTTATTGTAAACATTAGCTTTACTATTTTACACTAAGCCAAATTTTGACCTTGAGATAAGATATGTGCAAAAAAACAACCAAAAACAAACAAAAAAATTTCTCGTTTCTCTTAAGATAAAGATTGATCTGAGTTTAATAAAACTTTTACCGTTTTGAAATGTTGGAACTTTTTAAAAGTAAAAAAACCTAAAATTTCTAGAAAAGTTTATTGACCATGACTAGATCTGTATGCTCCCCCCCCCCCCCTTCTGTTTTTATGACCTTATGTGTATGGCTAAAATGTTATTAGCAAAGTTTTCATCAAAATTATTCAAATAAAAGTTATTAATTGGTTATCATTCAGTTTTTAAAAGACAGTTCAACCTCTTCAAATATTTAAAATGATAAATCATTTGTACAAAAACATATAGAATTAGTAAATTGTATTGTTATTGAACAATAAAATAGTGTCCCCTAGAGAATACACAAAATACATAATATTGAGCCACTTGGAATATATTCATATTTTGCTTTGTGGAATTTTTATAATATTTTAGTTCCTTTTGTTCGCTTTATATCTACTTAGGTCTAGTTTAGTTAGATATGTCAACTTTAAAAACTTAATATATACTCAAACAATAGTTTTCTGATTCCTGTCTTATTGATTTACAAAATTTCAAACTAGTAAAATTGATAGTTTGAAAAATGAAACCAGATCAAGCTGCAAATAAATAATTAAGAATTAAAGTGTTTAGTTTATTTGGATACATTAATAAACTTACATTCCACTTGAAGGTGACTTGAGTCGCAGAATTGACAGCTACTCCATTCCATTCAACTTGCTTCATGCTAACAAAGAAAATTTTGTTAGAAATGCACTACAAAATTATTTTATAACTTTACATTGGAAAAAATAATGGATAAAATGTACAAACTTTGTATTAGTTTTATTTAACAGAGTGATTGATCATATTTAAAGCTTTTATATAAAATGTCATCATATGATTGTTTAAAGTAAACATAAAAAAGAAGAAAAAATTCTGAATTCTTTAAAAATTGTTTGAAACTTCCTTACAATCCAATTTCGAGTTTTTATCCATAGTATGTCATATATTGATATTAAAGATACTGGAACTATCTTAAAAGTTTAGAATCAAAACCTGAGTTTTTGAATTAGATTTTGAAGATTATCTTCTTCATTCCCTCCATTATTGGGTTTTATTGGGTCAGAGAGTAGACTTGGAGGAGATAGACCGTGTTCATTCCGAGCTCTTTACCAATATTTATATTAATTAAGACCTCAATTAAATCGATAGAGTAGGCTACGTTGAACCACTGATTTTGAGCTTGACCTGTAGCACAAGAGAAGAAGATCTAATTTTAGTTCAACTGTGTCTTGCTATTTATAAAATCTAGTCTCTTAATAAAGACATTTTTGGCCTTGCCATATCATTTGCAGTGGTGCAACTAGTGGGGGCAACCCCCCCCCCAAGCATATTTCGTCCCCCTCTTGCCCCCACTCTCTTTCCCTCACACCCAAATTTTTCTTTGGCACTTTGTGCATCATTTCTATTAGAATTTCTAACTATTTTCTTTTTTTGATTTAAAGAAACGCTGTTTTTTTAACTTAAAATCCTGAAAACAACACTTTCTTTTTGAAAATATTTTGACAGCGGGGGCTAGCCCCCCTAAACCCATCTAAATTTTGCTCCCCCTCTCAAAAGTGCTAGTTGCACCACTGAACATTCAAAATTTGAAAAGGAAGACAAAAGGCAAAAAAGGCACAACATCTGTTGGTAAAAATGTGTTTTTTTTTTGTCATATAGGTAAGCATTATTATTGGCATCAAATTTTGGCAATTAAAAATAGAAAGAAAATTTCACATTTTTTAAAAATTATTTGGGGGAGGGGAGGGTTGATTTTCAAGAAATATACCTTGTTTAACCAGAAAGGAAACCTGTGATAAAAGAATGTAAATAAATATATATATTGTTCCTGACTAGAAATATCAATGTAGAGCTAGGACCCAGGTGTTCTATCACTAAACTTTCCTCCTACCATCACACAAACATATATTGCCAATCCATCCTGCTAGTATTTAGGACAAAACGGTGTTCACTTTTTTTTGAATCATGGGAGTTAAATTTTTTACAAGAAATTTTTGTCTTTCCTTAAATTTTAATTGGGGTTTACTTTTATTGCATGCCTTTCAAGTTAGGATTAATATAGAGAAAAAAGGACATTTCATGATATAATCTTAGATTTGATATCCTACAGAGTTATCAATAAACTGAACAAAACACAATTTGAATCTCCTTGACAAAGTTTCAACCACCCTGTGAGGCACTTCCTAGCATCCCCTTCTTTGAAATATTGTTGAGTGATGGGACAATCCCATGATAAGCATCTGCTAACAAAGAATGATATATCATCTCTGTTATGAAAATGTTACCCCGTCTTTTCAGAATATTTCTAAAGCCTGGATAAGTATGAAGGGGATAATATTAAGTAATAAAATAATATTTTCACAGACGATAATGTTTCCTGAACATTCACAAGAACCCAATGGTTGCCCTCACCGGAGATATAGTATTCAACCTGGAATAATATGATTAGTTCTATTTACATATTACAAGTGTTATCTTAGATTACATTGAAGGTGAACACCAATATATCGAAAGGTTAAGGATAGCTACAAAAAGAAATATTCCCACACTTTTCTATCATTACCAATTTTAATTAATGACTCAAATATTATACGAGCATTAGGAATGATCCTACTACAAGTTTTTTCATTGTAAGGCAATTGTTAGCAAAGGTTTAGATATAATGTACATTATCTTTTGTTTTTCATTTTTTATTTTCAAGACTTCAGACTAAAATGAAAAATGTCCATTTAGACTGAAAAAGGGTAAATATTATGAATTTAAGAAACTGAGGGGTAAACATGATCTAAGCTGTGGTTTTGTCCAGGGTAAACTAAATTGATCCTTGATCAATGACTGGGGTATTTAGGAAAGTGTCAATTTTAACATGTCGGCGCAAAACATCCAACGAACAAATGAAAATTGTATCACCTGATATCCTCTTAGAGGACTTTTCCCAACCCTGACAGGTTTACTCCACTCTACCCTGATAGATGTGTTTGTAGATCCAACCAGCCTTGGTTTCCCTGGGGAGGCAGGGAAGTCAAGTAGGTCTGGGGAACTGGGTTTCTTCACTCCCCGCTCCTAGAATCCCCAGGGGAATTAAATGAAGAAAAACATATTATCAGAGAAATATTGCTCAATCTTTAAGCACTAAGTAAACAGTACTTTTATAATGCTAGATCTTAAAGAATTGTCAATATAGGATTTTTAATTAGATCCAGCAGTAATTCCATGTGAATTTCCTTTGGGAGTACAGTTACACTAGCACTAGCTGAGGTCTGTCCAGAACTGGTTTTTAACTGGCAAGTGTAAACTGCACTATCTTGTTCAGTTGCACCTACAAAACAGAACTTTTTAGACAGCTAGAAGTGTTTTAAAAATATAGTTTTAGTTTTATTGTACTAAAAAGGGCTTCTAGTAGGTACAATGCCAAAAAAAATTGATGAATTATTTTGCTTTAAATAATGTTTTAACCTAATATTTAACCTTATAAAGTTGACCTAATATTCAAAAATGTGCTTGGGAAAAAAGCACTTTTTTAGTTATTCTTTAGAGCATTTACTGTAAAGAACAAAAATACTGCATTTTAAAAATAAATTAAAAGCTTAATGGTACAATTCCTTTCTGTGCATATTTTACATATTTTTATACAAATAAGCATGTATTTTGTACACTAAAGAAGTGTATTCACTAGGGTTCTGGCAAGTGAATACATAAAGGCCAGCGTGATGTGAAAAGACAACCTTTTTAAAAATAGTGTTCTTTATTTATAATAATTCATTATTATGTAAATATGTTTATAGATTAAATTAATAAAAATTGATGTACAACAAGACCAATTGTTATTAACTTAAGGCCTGTCATCAAACAATAATATATAAAAGTTATGTTTATCTGTTTTCTATCAATAATGTTAGCTTATATGAAGCAACATTCATCAAGTAGAAAAAGCCTCTATATTAGCTTCTATTTGTTTTTGCCTGTAGGATCACTTTTCCATTATTTTTAATTATTTCTCTCAGTAGTTTTTGGTGAAACAACATTATCTCTTATAGCTTTTATCTCAGACTTTGTTAAGTTGGATAATTGACTGCAGACGGCTAAAGAAACAAGTTTTTGTCTGAGCGCAAAACAAGGAAATGGGGTGGCTTTAAGTACATATTATCCTGTTATAATGGTTAAAAATGTTTAACCCTATTTTTTAACCCCTTTAATTAAAATAAATACACTGTATTCTCCTTAACATGATAGTTTCTTGATAAGTGGAGCTAGAATTACAAGCAGTCTTCTAAAGATTACAAGAGTTTTTTATCACCTACTTCAACCTGGGCAACAATTTTGGGGAAAATCCACGGAAATTCCCAGGAATTTGTCAATATTTCCAGGAATCTTTCACAGGAAAATTCATTGAAAATGTCAAGAGAAATTGGAGATTTTCTTGAGAATTTACAGGAAGATTCTCCATTGAGAAATTCCTGGGATGAACACTGTACAGTGGCTGGGTTTGGCCGGGGCTGGAGATTTTCTTGTGATTATTTCCCGGAAATATATCAGAACCAATTCTTAGGAATTTCTCGAAACACATTCTGAGGAATTTCTCATAACCCATTTTAAGGAATTTCTTGTAAATAATTCCCAGGAATATCTTGTAACCCATTCCAAGCAATTTCTCATAACCCATTTTGTGGAAATTTCTTGTAACCCATTCTCAGGAATTTCTCGTAACCTATTCGGAGGAATTTCTTGTCACCATTCTGAGAATTTTTTGTTATACATTTTGTGGAATTTCTCATCATTTATTATCAAGGATGCAAAGAAAAAATTTTGGCAGTGCAAAATAGAAGGAAACCTCAGAGACACCTATTGGAGAAAAGCGGAATTTTATTTTTACTGGTATCTAATAAATATTAAATTCTCAAGTCCAACTTTTTGTGGTAACTCACTTAACCCACAGGGAAAGTTTGTGGATGGTAAAAATTATTTTTGAAAATCTGCTAATTTGAGTTAACTGGAGTAAAATCCTTTACAAACACATTAAACCTTTATAGTTACACAGTGAGTTTAGCTTATATAATACAGAGATGATTTTTATAAGGCAATTTAATAGGTTTAATGGAGCAGTTTTCCCACCAGGAGATACAACACACACTTGCTATTTTTTGATTTATATTTTTCTTAATTTTGTAGTTTTGTTTAGTCAGTTAGGGACCTTCCTACAAAGAAAAAACACTAACAGTATGTCACAATAGAGACAGGAAAAAAGTCACTGCCTAGAATTTCTTTAATCAGAATACTGCAGATTACTACAGTTCGCACTGAAAGCTTAGTTTAGGGTACACCATCTGTTTATTGATAACAATAACAATAACAATTTAAAATCTTTAAAAAAAATTTTAAATCTTGCAAAATAATACATTTCACTAAATTTTGTTTTAGAGCTCTAATGTATGTTTTTTTTGCATTTTCTTACTTCATAGTTTTGACATGATGAATTAAAATTAGTTGGTTTCCCCCAGCTCAGTTTGTGTGGCATCCTTAAATCTTATTGTGTATCCCCTCCCCTCTCTCCTCTTCATACAACTAAGATAATTGATCCTGCCAGAAAAGAAAAGTATTGATTTTTTTATATATTACAGAAATTCTATCTTCTACCAAAAAATGTCAAAAATATAGTGTCTTATTTTTGAATCTGAATCTTTTTATATTCAAAGTTTTCTATTCAAATTTATGTTTCTTTTTCTTTAACAAGAAAAATTAAGTTATTTGCTGTTTTAAATTATTGTGTTAATATTTTTTATTTTTTTTGAGAAGAAATGCAAATATTTTTTTTTTAAAGCGATTGAGAAATATTCTTTATTTTCTTATTTATTTATTTATTATGCTGTTTTTTGCTTTAGTGGTAAGCAATTATATCACTACAATGAAGACAACTTTTTATTTAAGTTTGATTATTAACAAGCTTTTTCCGATTACAAGTTTACATGTAATCAAAGAGAAGCTTTTCAAATGATAAATTCTCTTGACTTCTTTTTTCTTAACACCCTAATTTAAATCAAAATTGAATTAAAAATTTGTCTTCATTGTATTGATATAATTGCCTACCACTATAGGTATTTCAATAAGAACAGAAAATGCACTTAATAAGACATACTTAGAGTGTTGTGGTTGTTCCCCCCCCCCCTGAAGTTTGTATGGTTGGACAATGCAATTATAATAACACATTGGGAAAATGGAAAAGGATACTGTAAGTCTATATTACCAAGTATTGGAAAAGAAAAGCAATATGAAGAAAGGATATTTCTATATTTTTATTGTTTTTTTTCTAAATGACACCACATCTCTTGTAATTCACTTCAATTGAGGTTAATTTACTGAGATTTACTTAGCTGATTTATTTAAGTGTTAGACCCTCCCCCCCCCTTCCTTCTCTTTAGAAAACCTTTCTCCCAATTACTCTGAGCTGAGGAACGGCTCTGCAGGGAACTATATGAAATATTTCAAAAATTTCATTAAAAATATACATTGTGAGGAAAAATAAAAATTTGAGACTTTTCATAAAAATAATTTTGAAACTTTTCTTTCCTTATTATAAGGGGGAAAAAATGGAGACACGGGGGTTGATTGGTGGGGGGGGGGGGAGGGGGAAAAGAAGGGGATTCTTTAATCAGTCCTCTCATTATTAGATCTTCAGAATGGTTTCTTAGTCTCATTTAATATATCTGGAGCTGTAGGGTTTCTTAGTCTCATTTAATATATCTTTTGATAAAATATGAAAAGTATGATTTTTACATACTTAAGGAATTTTCAAATAACCAACCTTAGAGTTTTTTAAACACAAGTCTTCAGTATTCTGAAGAAAGCATGAAGCATGATGTTGAAAGAAAAAAAAAATTCCAATTTTTGTTGAATAATTCTTTTTTAACGCTTGTCTTGTGATGGTACAGCAAGAACCAGAAAACTGTGAAAAAGGAATATTATCTTCATACTTTTGTATTTAATGTTGTTTCAAAGCAAACTTATTAAATCGTTTTTATGTCAATTTGGTCTAATTACACTGCATAAAGGCTGTGTCCCATGTTATGGGACTTTTCTCACTGTATGTAATTTCTTTTGGTTGGATTTGGAACCAATAAATGTAGTAATGACTGAACCAATCAGGTTATTTGAGGAATCTAACATGAGTAGTTTAAAAAAATGAAATAATGACCAGAATGCATTGTGTCTTTGCCACAAACAAACATTTGCCATGCTCCCTATATATTTGCAACCTGATTGTGTAAACCTAAGACATTTTTTATTTTGATTTTTGAACTAACAAAACTAATAGTTTGACATATCTGAGGTCTACAACATGCAGTTGCAAAGATATAGGGATTAGAAAGTCAGAGATTGTCTCAAGGACTCTATTCCCTTGGACTATTTTCAACTGGGAAATACTAACTTTTTATCTGAAAAAGGTTTGAAATTTGATTGGATGATTTTTTAGGTTGAAAACATTTAAGTTTAAAATGAAAATAATTTTGTATGGAAGTTTAATATTAAATATTGGATAAAGTTTTAGAATAAAACTGTGTCAAATTAAACTAATATTGGCTTGAATTTCAAATTATATTTTAAAAATTATTTTCGAACTTTTTCCAGATAAATTTCTGTGAAATTAAGTAATTAATTCATTAAAATAATGTAATTTTGCTAGAATGAAATGGACACTAATTAATAGTTCTAATAATGCTTAATAATTTTTTTGTTCTTGTTTTAATGTCAACAATTTTTTTTAAGAATTTGCAAATCTGACAAAAATGCTCTTAAATGTCTACTTTCGTCCAATAGTCTTTCAAAGGAAGCATTCAATTTGAATGATGGATGTAGATTTGAAAATTACTGTAAAAGGAATCAATTAGTTTTAAATAATAAAAATATTAAATAATATGGGGGAACATTAGAAATAGATAAAATAACAAACTTGGGGGTATAAACTCTATACCTGTTATTTTTGTAAAATATAGGTTGAAATAGTATTAATTTTTCCTATTTATTAATCATTGATGTATTATTTAGAACTTGCTTAATTTCATTTGTTTCATTAAAGAATATATTTAATTCTAGAGAAAAATATTGTTTAGATAATACAGCTATTTTGTCTGATATAGGTGGAGGGGGGAGGGCTTTTTCAACATCTCCCCCCAGTGCTGATGTTTAAGAGTATGAAGGAAAAATAAAAAAAAAAAACTTTTAATCAATATTAACGTTAAACACATGCTTTTCAAAGGCTTTTTAAATATGGAAGTTTAGATCTGTAGATATCAAATATTAAAAAAAATTTTGTTATTTTTGATGTGTTGCTGAAAATGTTCAAGTAAAATGTCTGCCCAATTATGAAGAACAAAAAATTTAAAAAACTTGAACGCTCAGATTAGCAAGATGTAATTTTAATGTTCTGGTAAAAAAAATAAACAAAACCCCCTCCCCCCCCCCCCCATTCAGAAAAAGGTTAAGAGAAAGAGAAAATATTTGTAAATCCCACCTGAGATTAAAAGATTAGTTCCATCAACTAGAGAGAAGTGTAGATTATTCACTAGCTCTATTGGTAAACCGTCCTAAACAGATAATTTTATCTCAAAATATTCATTTTATTAGATATAGTGGAACATGAAACATGAAAATTAAAAACTATCTAAGGCAAAAAAGCATCGTTTTCCTTAAAGGTTGAACTTTTTCTGAATGAATTAAATTTGTGCAAGAATGAAGGTGTTATTCAGAAAAATTAACCAATCATGAACAAACAAAGGGATCATTTAGAAATAATAAACTATAGTTTTTCTATACACATGGTCATCTTGAAATTATCATATATAATAGGTCGCGCTGTATGAAAACTGGATTACAAAATTAACAATTAAAAGTGTTACTGCAAAAATTCCTAAGTACCATAAATGCTTAAAATAGTAAAAAAAATGAATTTGGGAAATGATTGCCATATCATAAATTATAGCATGTATTAAAAAAGTTAAAGATTAAAAATTTAAAATTTAATAATTATTTGAAGTTGTTGCTGCCAATGCTTCTGGTTTTAAGAATTTGTTTTTATAAAAAATATCAAAAAGATTACAAAAATCATGAATTTTACCAGGCATGGAAAAAGAACCTAGGACAACTTAATAAACATGAATTTAAAAAAAAGTTCAGTATTGAGATTAAAGATCATTTAAAGAATATAATAGAAACTTTTTGAGATTAGTAAATAGCTAACTTCCGGGTTTTAGAAAATAGTGAAAAATATTCAAAAGATCACAAAAATTTGTTTTTGATGGTACCCATCCCTAGTTAAGAAAATAACAGGGATAATAAAGGAGATAAATTTCATGTTATCTTTATATTAATGGTTGACACAGAAACACAACAAAACAAAATGAAATAACAGCTAAACCTTTAAGAAAACTAATTTCTAAAGAAAGATATAAATAATGCTTCTGCAAAAATAAAATACTAAGAATCATTTTCTCAAATTTCATATCTTAAAATTAAATTAAGAAGATGCAAATATCTGCAACAGCGACATTTCATAATATGATTTGTGAAATTTTGAATTGATTTATTGATTGATTGACTGATTGATTAATATATCTCACCTTCAGCCAAACAACTCTAGTTTCAGGATCTTTATTTGTAAACTGACAGTTTAACTTTACATCTTCATTCCTATATAATACACAAAATAATCTTTATTCCTATTAGAGTAAATAGATATAGAGTATATGTGTACTTTAGTACAGGTGGAATCAGGTAGATATAGTATTTTAGGCATTGTTACTCATTCTAAACTCCTCCTCCTTTTCTCTGAGTCATGGCAGTATTAGGAACCTGGAGATTGATTAGTGAACCCACGAATCTTGAATAGGATAGACGTATGAGCTAAGCTACTTTTAGACAGCTATCGGACTGATGTATCTATATCATGACTATCAGAGAGAAAAAGGAGGACATTAGCCTCCTTCCCCATCATTATACCTGGATAACGGATTCACCCTCTTAATCCTCAGCAGCATCAAGGATATCAGATGCTGCCCCATCCTCTCCAAATTACCCTTTACAAACAACCAATCTTGCTGGTGATCTGGAGCAGCTAGAAGATCAAGTCAGACTCCTGGAGCAGAAGCTCAACCTGATATTAGAGACACTGATCTTTACAGACATCTCTTTACATATCTGCTGTAGAAAAAGCTGATGAACAAGATAACCTGGAGACAGGAGACGCTGCTCTTCACATGTCTGTTTCAGAACGAAAGAACAAGATAACCTTTAAGAGGAGATGCTGACAGCTCTTCTCAAATATGTTGTAGAAGCAACTGAGATAACCTTGAGACAGGAGACACTGCTCTTTACAGACAGCTTTCATCAGATCTGTTTTAGAGTCAACTGAGATAACCTTGAGATAGGAGACACTGCTCTTTACAGACAGCTCTTCTCAAATATGTTGTAGAAGCAACTGAGATAACCTTGAGACAGGA